AGTGGCTTGCAGAAATATAACATAAAACAAGATAGCAATAGGTATACCCACCTTGAGCAGACACGCATTTGTAAGCGTCGGTTTCCAAGAAATTTCCCCTGCACATATTTCGGTAATTTGCCTCGCTCATTGCCTTTCAAAGCACGTTTCAGTAGTTAGATTAGCTTATTTTTAAGTCAATGACTTGTTCCTTGGCAGTTTTGACTATTTACATGTTTTGTTGAAAGTACTATTCACCAATGTCATTTCCGGCTGAACAGAGGTCGCACACACTTAATAATTTTGTAAAAGGCCCGTTGTGCGAGTGCTTTGGGCGTTTCCATGAAACTGAGTTATGGCTTGTCACCTATGACTGCACAACACGACGGGAGTACCAGAGGGACACAATTTTGCTGGCATTGGCTTCATGAGCTTAGGGTACTTTTTCAACTTTGTAGTTATTAGCGACCACAGGCAACGGCTGAATCAGCTATTTCACACATTTTTTTTCTTTTCTTGCGTGGCACAGGCTTTTGTCTAGGTATACAAATATCAAAACCTAAAGGCGGTGCAATAGACGAAATACCTGTTTTCTTCTGAAATCACTGAGCACCGGCATTGGTTGCTATGCTGACTTGTTAACAAGTAATTTGTGAAATGCGAACAAAAATACTCTGATATGTATTTTACAAAAATCCCTGATAAAAATACCCTGATCCAAAATTTGTATCATACAACTTCTGATTGCAGAAAGTGCATTCCCTGTCTTGTCGGAGGCCCTCACACTCGCCCGATAGGTGAACCATTAGCATCAGACATAAGCATGCGTTTGTGTTTTCCACATGTAGACATGTCAAGCTCGTTTTGTTCAAATACGTAAGTAAGAATGAAGGCACGCAAGTCTTGTGCTTGAATCAGTAGCACCACACTAACGCTTACGCGTGTATTTTCACCCAAATTGATTCGTGCTCCTTGTGGGTTTTCAGAGATGCTCCCATCAGATACCTGCCAGGTGCCTGGAAAGCCAGTTGAAAGTGGATCATGTTAGTGGCTTGCTGCGACCATTAACCTAAAGCCACAACACTCCGTCCGGGTACAGCACGCGCCGAATGGAGCTAATAGCCGGCCGGTGCGGTGGTCGCAGCTCGCACATTAATCCAGCACATGCCGGCGGCGCTCCCGCCGTCGATGTCGGCGCGTGTGCGTGTGCCGCGCGTGCGGCGCCGCGTCGCGATCGTTTCTCAGGCGTGGACACCGACCGGCTGCGGCCCGCTCCGGCCATTATCCAGCCATTATCCGCCGCGGCGGGTTTGCCGCGCGGACGCCGCTTCTGGCGCGGATGGAGCGCCGGCCGTCGCGGCGTCGGCGGGCCTGAGTTATTCTGCAAGCCGCCGCGCGGGCGGGCGACGCGCGGGCGATTTACGGCCGGCCGCGGCCGCAGCTGCGCGCTGTTCGTCTCGCCGGGCTGTTGTTCGGCCGCGAGCGGGAACGGGGGCCGATCATCGACGGGATGGGCCCCGCGCGGCGGCCTGCAGCCCGACCGAGCGGCACAAGCGATTGGCTCTGTAGTACCGCTGATCGCGACAGGTACGCCACGCCGCTCAGATCTGCCGGCCGCATCTGACTCAGAGACGCGGCAGGGACGCTCTAATCACTGCAGCAGGCCTCGAGGTGCCGCCCAGAGCTGCCGACCACATCTGACTCAGAGACGAGGCAGGGACGCTTCCGATCACTGCAGCACCACTGACCTTGACAGGTGCGCCACGCCGCTCAGAGCTGCGACTGCATCTGGCTCAGAGACGGGACTAGGATGCTTCTAATCACTGCAGCAGGCCTCGAGGTGCCGCTCAGAGCTTCCGACCACATCTGACTCAGAGGCGGGGCAGGAACGCTCTGATCACTTCAGCACCGCTGATTGCGACAGGTGGCCACGCCGCTCAGAGCTGCCGGCCGCATCTGACTCAGAGACGGGACAGGGGCTCTTCTTATCACTGCAGCACCGCTGATCGCAACAGGTAGCCACGCCGCTCAGAGCTGCCGACCGCATCTGATTTAGAGACGGGGCAGGGGACGTTCTGATCACTGCAGCAGGCCTCGAGGTGCCGCCCAGAGCTGCCGACCGTATCTGGCTCAGAGACAGGGCAGTGGACACTGTGATAACTGCAGCGGGCCTCGAGACGGGACGAGGCTTTTACTCCCTTACGATGGAGAGAGTGCGGTCCTTTTGTCGTCGTTTAGACTCGGTATGATGTGGGTAACCACCAAAGTTTGAACACATGCCTAAAGCGAACGAACCATCCTGAGCTGTTCGTATTCTTCACGGTTTGTGTAGCGGCGCTCTCCGCTCCCTAGAAGGCTGCTGGTCACCGGGTGCCGCTCATGGCTTGACTCGTGACTCGTGACTCATGACTCATGACTCGTGCCTCGTGACCGCGACTCGCTCGCTCCTTCCCACGACCCTCCGCCTCCTGACTCCCATCTAAGACTCGCTGACTCAGGGCTCGTGTCCGTGGATCTCTGACTCGCCGTCACGGGCGCCACACGACCTCCGTAGTCACCGCACCCTAGAGCACCTGACCGACATCAGCCTGACGCCCGACTCCGCTCGTGACTCCGCGCCGCCCGCTCAGGCGGGCGCGGGCCGCCGACGCGGGGCAGCGGCCGCCGCCCCGCGCAAAAAGCCGCCAGTGTAAATAGCTGTGTCGGCGTGGGCACGAGCTTCGGCTTAGCGTGCCGCGCCGCGGGCGGGACAGGCGCCACCCAGGCACCAACGCTCGCCGGGCGAAAATATGGCCCGGCACGTCACACGCACTTCTTGCGGGGAGAAACTCACGACTGACGCTAAGTACGGAGCAGGTGCCTGGATCACATCCGGGTGTGGCCCCTGAGAGCCGGCTATTGCACCGCGATGGCTGGTCCCGTTCTTGTTGAGCATTTTTGATCCGGCGGAGTATTCGTTACTCACGTGACCTGTTTGAACACAGAACATCAGTGGAAAAGTGGAGCCCTGCAACCACGGACCCAGCGTCATAAGCGCTTTGTCAGCCGTCGTGTGTTGCTGAATAGTGTCTGTTTTACTGGGTTTTGTGGATTCTGAAGTTTGATACACATTTTATCATCCCGAGTATGTTTAATTTGACCGTGGCTTAATGTCTGGTGTTAGACTTGTGATGCACCTCTGGCCAAGACAGTCGATAGCTACGCCGCCTTAATTTTCGCCCGCTGACGTGCGAAATGCCGCCTCGTGGGTTCGCTCTGGCTGGCCAGGTCTTCTCTTGCGTCCTTCCTGGGGCCGCCGGACCGAAGAGGCTCTCCCTGCCGCTGTCCTGAGACCACCTTTGCCCGGGCTGTACATTTTCTCCCCATCACCATTCCTGAGACCGCCCTTGACCAATCTGGACAGCTCCTACCTGCCACCATCTCTGAGACCGCCCCTGCGCGGCTCGGGCAATCGGCGCATGCCGACACGGCCGGCCATCACATATCGGCGCCGACCGGCCGGGGCCGACCGGACCCGCACCGCATCGCAGCTCGTGCCTGCCGTCGGCCTACGGCAGGCCGGCATTCAGTCACAATCGCCGCTGGACGCAGCCGTAGGCGCTGACTCCGGGGGCGCCGGCGGCGTCGGGGACGGGGCCAACCAACGGTCTGCGCCGCGTTCTCTCGACGACAGACTGGCAAGGGCAGCTGAACGGTTTCCAGGGCTGGAGCTGGGAGGAAAAACAAACTGCTAAATTGTCGGGGTGGTACGGCGATATGAAGGAGTAATTGCCCGGCATTATCTCGGGTTTTTGTTTGGGCTACGGCGTACGCGCCGTATTGTTCTTAGAGAGTGGGTGCCGTTTTTCGGGCGGCTCGTGCTGGAAGCGAGAGAGGCCGGGCCGTCTGCGCTAGCTCTTTCCGTCCGTCTCCTGCTGGGTGGGAAATGGGCTTTCGGTGCTCGGCCAGTCATTACGCTCATTTTCCAGAGCTTCTGATTGCGACGGCGTCAATTAGTTTTTACTCGGCTGCATAGCATGCTAGTGGCTGTTCCCGTGATTGTGTGCTCCCCTAGTGTTACCTTAGAGCACTGCCTGCCGGAGGAACCGACACAATTTTCGACTGCACTATACAAAATTGAATTTATTTATACGTAACTATATTTCAGGCAGGTACGTTTTTGATTTCTTGTCATGTTGGTGCTGATGCAACGGTATTTAGTCAGGAACGTATCACGCTAACCGAGCCCCCTTTCCATCTGTCAAAGCAAACGAAATGCTTAAGCATGCTGCATCTCGGATATGACGTCTGGGTTGCCCAGGTTCGTGGCCTACAACACAAAATAGCTGCCCTTACAGCTAGGAGGACCCGAAAAAACTCCAGATTTGCGACTTGGCACCAGGCCAGTGCTGGATGTTTTGTAGTTTGGCTGTTACTCGGCATATCTGAGCGGCTTAAATAAGCAGGAAAGGAAAGGAACGTTGTATGCATTACACGTGAGCTGGTAAACGGTTTAATGGATGTCTCCGATCGTCTTGAACTGGCAGATGCATAGCTACACACAGGCATATCGTGTGACAAGCTAACAGTTTGATGCGTCAGGGAGCTCAGTATAGCCGGGAAACATGAGCTGAAAGGGCCGAGCAGGCTTCGAACGGCTCCTCTTTGCTCCAGTCACGCTTGATGGCGTCGATCTCAGATGTCCATCGTTTAATCGGCGTCAGATGTCCAGCGACGCCCGCCGGCCAGTGTTGTGTTCGTGCGCGTGCCCGGGGGCGGATCGCTGCCCTGGGGCACGGCATCGGTGCCTTGTTTGTCCGCCCGGTCCTGGCGGTCCCGGCCGACCTCGGCCAGGCCGGCCGCGGCCTCTCAGGTGCGCCGTCCGGTCCCCCCGAAGCACCGCGCTAGCACCTGGATAGACTCGCCGGCCGGCCCGGCCGCGCCGCCGCCCACCAGCGCGCGGACCGCGACGCTGGCGGCGCCCCCTAGCGGCGAGCGGCGCCGAAGCCGGCCGGCGGCCTCCAGTTCCTCCGGAGGTGCTGAGGAGGGGTGTGTGCAGGAACGCAGCTGCTGTGTCGCCGCCGCCGCCGAGCCGAAACTGACCGACCAGCGAGCGTGTCTGGCGACAGCGGAGCGGGAGAGCTGGTGGCGAGCCGTGCTCGGGCCGGTTTAGTGAGGTCGGCGGATTTACTGGAGTCGGTGGTGTGCAATGCGGTCCGTGTAACACGTGCGACGAGCGAGCACAACTCTACCGACATGTATTGGATTACTGGATTGCTCTTAGCAGGTGAGCTCTGCTCTTTCAAGTGCGAGGAATGAAGGTGTTCTTTTTTCCCGGGAACGCTTTGAATCAACTGGTACACGGTGCTCAAGGGCCGACAATCATATGTACCTGCCCGTCGCTGTGTTTGACCACCTGCCTGAGTACGCTGCTGTGTTGGTGTCCGAAACGATTGCGACACTATGCATATGCTTAATCTGACGGCATCAACAGTTACTCTCCCAAGATTCTCCGTCATAGTTTCCTTAGGAGAATAGATTCACCTGCTGTTGTTTTCCCTTGCACCAAAGCTTCTCGTGTTGATCTCCACTGTGGTACCATCCCAGCCAAAAATCCTCCTCCATTTTCATACTGACTAGGAGACATCTCATCTTATCACCGCTCATCACCATCCCAGCCGAGAGCCTCCTCCCCCTCCCCCTTCTCGCCGCCCGCTACGCCCAACACCGATGGCGAACACAAAACTACAGCCGACTGCAAAAACGCTAATCGCCCTTTGATGTCTCGCCCCCGCTCACCGCGGATTGTTGCAGCCGCACGCGCGGACGCGCCGCCGCTGATGAGGTTCGGCGTGCTGGTCAGGGCCCCTGCCGGCATGCTGGGCTGAGCCCCTGTCGGCGCTGCCGCTAATTGGCGGGGCTGGTCCGCCGCGGCGGCGGTCAGGCGGTGCCCGACTGGGGCCGCCGCCGCGCCCGGTCCCGGCCGTATAAGGCCCGCACGCCGCCGAGGCATGCACGGGGCATTTAGCGAGCGGCGATCCGGCCCCGATATCGCTCGGGCCGACACGCTAGCCGGACCCTCGCTCGGGCCGACACGCTAGCCGGACCCTCGCTCTGGTGCCGACACGCTAGCCGGACCCTCGCTCGGGGCGACACGCTAACCGGGCCCTCGCTCGGGCCGGCACGCTAGCCGGAACCTCGCTCGGGCCGACACGCTGGCCGGACCCTCGCTCGGGCCGACACGCTAGCCGGACCCTCGCTCGAGCCGACACGCTAGCCGGACCCTCGCTCGGACCGACACGCTAGCCGGACCCTCGCTCGGGCCGACACCTTAGCCGAACCCTCGCTCGGGCGACACACGCCGGCCCGCTGGACGAAACGGCGGGCTTTGTAAATAGTGTTTTTGACTTGGCAAAGACGGAGGTTCCAGTGGAGAAATATTTTCCTCGATGACGGAGGGTGTCACCGTCTTTTGCTGCACAGTCTGTTTTGGTCCCTCGTGCTGGATTTGAGACGTGAATTGATGCGTGAGCAGCAGCTTAGGACGACCACCCTGGGCAGGGCACCAGGAAAAACGGCTTTCATGCAAGCCAGGGAAGCATTGCGATTGCAGTCTTTTGTACCGGGTGGCGTTTTGCGAGCCACACTTTCCTCGACGATTGTGTCAGTTTCGAAAGCAGAAGTTATCTTTCAGTGGTGCCAGGTCACGCGAGTTTTGAGTGCATAGCAGCTGCCTAACCGTGGAAAATGGAACGGCTATCACCGCAATCCCCAAAAGTGGCGTCACTGAACGCTGCCTGGCGAAGTATACCGCACCTGTGTGAGGCATGCGCGCTGACGGCGCGGCCCGTCCATGACTGGTAATTTTGTGGCCGCGTTTTTTTTGTGGCGGCCACGTTCTTTCGGTCGTCATCCGGTGGCGGTTCGGTAGCTGGCGGGAGATGCGCCCCGATTGTTCCAATGGCCTGCACATGTCGATAGTTCCAGTTACGCACATGTGCTACCGTGTCCCGTGCTGCATGTGACCCTGCGATGGGCCCCGTCCCCGCTCGTGCGCTCATGGCTCTAGAGTCTGCCTGTGCGGTGATGGCATCGGCATCCCCGCGTGCTATAATGGCTCCCGCTTCGTCCGTTTTCTGATAGTTCCTGAACACTAACCTGACGCACGCACTAACCCAACACTCCAAGCCCAATGGATTCTGTCCTGCACGTGCACGAAGGTCTCCTGTCTCTTCACGTGGGCTGGTGGCTTCCATTCCACACGTCGCGCGCGCCGCCGGCGCGGCACGTGAACGGGGGTACGGCGAGTGGCGCGATCGCCTTGTCCCCGGCGGCGGCATGTGCGTCAGACCTGCCACGGGCACCGCACGTGAGGGAAGGGACAGAACATCGACCCGCGCTCCAGCCGAGCAGCCGGCCCGATTTCCCGCCATTTCGGCGCGGCGCGCCAACAGACCCGAGAACCCGCGCCGCTGCGCCGGCTCATACCGGCGAATTTACGAGCTGATGCCAGCGTTAATCCGATAAAACACGGCCAGTTTGGGTGCACGGCCATTGTGCATTTCACGGCGAATGACGTCTGGTCGACGAGCCGCGAACGGCTGCTCGCCCCAGGTGCTTTTGTTCCGGCGTCGGCACCCGGTCGCGGGTTTTCGGGGCGCCTTTTGTTGCCGGGTCGGCGCCGGGCCGGGTTTTCAGCCGCTGTTCCCACCTGTCCCGCGTCTCCGCCCACTCTCCCCCGGCCTGGTCATCCGTCATATCGACACATGCAAACAACACGCTGGCGCCGGCCCCAGCGGTCGGGGGTACACTGGGCAACCGGCGCCGGCGGCGACACCTTGTTCGTGGCGCCGCTTTACCGCCCGTTGGCACACGGCAACCAAAGGCTGTCTGCGCTAAGGAATCGGCGCGTTTTTGTCGCTGCCGACAATTAAGCGCAACAAGGGGCGTTCAACGAGTCTCGAAATGCCATTTCCATGTGGTCTTCGTTGCGAAGTGAATAGAGGCGAGGTCATTGTGCGAGATACAAGTGGCCGTCGTTTGTATTTTGCATGGTTGCATGGCTGTGCATTAAAGGAATGCTTCCATCCCAGCGAAGCGTTTAATTGGGGTGACCCCATCACACAATCATTGAACGTACAGCGCGATTAAATGTTGCAGTCTCTAAATCACTCCAAATCCGTGTGCTCCTGAAACTTTGTATCTTGTTCACCACAAAGCGCTGGATCATTCAGCAACTTACGCCACAGCTGCCGATATCAGCTTTACCTTCTCCCGCGTCCTCTGTCGTACTAGGACTGATAGCAGTCAAGAACCGTCGCCTGCCTCAAAATTTTATATCACAAGGCAACTGGATCAGCCACTGTACCTCTTCCAATTGCCTTCAACCTGTAAAATCCCCCGGGAATGATTGTTAAACCATTACCACACCAGATAACCCCCGGCCCCATACACCCTCAAAATACATTACGGGGTATAGAGCCGCCATTGTCGCCAAATCCCCGAGTTCAGCGAACTGCCGCCGCTCGTGTAAGATTCTCCCGCAGATATAGCACTTTCATAACGGGCTATTTCTCAACGAAGACTTAAAATTGGCAATAGCTTAAGACTGGGGTCAGGAGCTTCCTTCGTAATACAGCCTTTTCTTACAGTGCTGCTCACCCATAGCCGTGGGTGATAGGTGTGCAATATCACATAGCAACGTAAAATTATCTATAAATCTGGTGATAAATGTGAGTGCAACGTAAATACGTGAGTAAGATACACGAACACTGCAGGCCATCATTACATATTACCCAATACCTCTTCCATTGCCAGTTGACCATGCCACTTTGGACGGTCCTCCAAGTGACATAAATCGTTTCAAAGCCTTGTCGGCCATGAAAGGTAGCTACCGGCATACCGATCCGTTGCTGGTAGTCGACGGTAGCTGAAATATGCATACCCCCCTTGCGGCTGAAATATGGACAACTCCGCCGGTGCAGCCTGCAACATCAGTATATAACCTCCACCACATTAACGTCATCATACCGCTAACCAATGCTTTGCACCGTAAACCCACGGAGACACACCGACATGGAGGCGATCCATGGCCTCGTTCCCACATCACACACCACCAGCGCGCTCGATCTACCGCTTACCCCAGCGGAAGGTGTGGTTGGGTCAGGGATAGAGGCGGTGAGTATGGGGGGGGGGGGCCTAACGTCGCCGCACCACCTTCAGCACGGCCTCGCCTGCCTCCCGGCCAGGCCGCCGGACCGTGGCCCCGCACGTGAGAACGGCCCGCGCCCGGGCCGAGCGTGCCGCAGTGATGAAGGCCACGGCACTGACCGCAGTCCGGAGCCGGCGGGCTGGCGTGGGGGGCCAGCACACGGGGGTGGCAGTACTCGGCGTGGTCGGTCCAGCACTGACCGCAGCGGAAGGGGGAGAGGGCCTATCAGGACTGCAGTGGATGTGCCGTTGAGGCCTGAGAGCGACGGCGCTGCGAGCGAACGGCAGGCTGCTAGCGGGGGAGAGACGGGGCCCTGTTTGTGACACAGCTTAAATGCCCTGATGTATAACCCAGCCGGTTGTCATTACATCTTCATGGGAGAGATGTGCTGATATCTGCGCGTGAGAGAAACGCACGAGGTGAGTTCCTGTCGGAGATACCGGCGCATGATTGCTGTACGCACGGCGGGACCGGATGTGAGAACGGTGAGATACTCGTGAGACCCTGCACAAGCTTCAGCCGCTATCAGGAGAAGATAACGCCGCAGAAAGTCACGCCGCACTGCACCGTGTCCGGATGTGTGACCCTTCCGTCAGACGGGCCACGGTCTGTCTTCCTCATGTCATGTGAGCCACAGGTGCGCCTCAGTCTTCCGCCCGCGCCCTCCCCATGTGAAATGAGCTGAGGCGGTTTGCGCGAGCTACCGCCCGCGCCGCGTCGAACCCACAATCGCTGGAGGTCCATGTCGATGAGAAGCGTGCTGGGCAGTCTGGTGACGGTCCGGTGCAGTAGCCGTCCGGTGCAGTAGCCGTCCGGTGTGGTAGCCATCCGGTGAAGTAACCGTCCGGTGCGGTAACCATCCGGTACAGTAGACGTCCGGTGCAGTAACCGTCCGGTGCAGCGGCCGTCTGGTGCAGTAGCAGTCCGGTGCAGTAACCGTCCGGTACAGTAGACGTCCGGTGCAGTAACCATCCGGTGCAGTAGCCGTCCGGTGCAGTAACCGTCCCGGGCCAGCGGACGCGATTTGCAAGGGGACACCGACACGTTCCCGGGGGGACACCGACATGGTCCCAGAG